CTGTTCGGTCGAGGTTTAGTTTGTGGCTTGCGACACCGGGGTCTATACCCTTCATATCCTCATGCTTCCAGGCAAAGACATCAGAATTCTGTTTGAGAAACGCAATAAGGTTAGACCGAAGTGGTTCCTGAAGGTGACTTCCGATTCGTAGGGACTTGTGGAAAATTGGTTCGTCAATATAGACTAACTCCACGTCCTCCCCAGGTTCAGCTCGGTCAGGTCGACTTTTTTCTTTGAACAAGGCTCTGGGATCCAGCTCGTCTTCTTCTAGAAGGGGTTCTTTTCCAGGTCGGCGTCCTCGGTCCTCGGTTAAAGGATCCAAGGTGGAAGGTTCACCGACGTGGCTGCTCGGTTCTTTGGTCATCATGTCGTTTGGATGGTGATGTTGTGGGGAGGTCTCATGGTTGCTCGTTGAAGCTGAGTGAATTCCCTGAGAAGGGATGAGCGTTACAAGTTGTCGAGCTTCCCTTTGGTCTCCGAAGTGGGTTCCTTCTCCTCGGGTTGTTGGAAACTTTAGTGCGTAATGGAAGATGGAGACCGCGGCACGAAGTTTGTACAACGCCGTTCTACCGATGATGGCGTTGTATTCGTTGTTTATATCCATAACTTTAAAAGTCTCCATAACAAGTTTGGTGACATTCTCCGAGGTACCAAATCGGACGGGCAAAGTGATTTCTCCGATGGGTTTGGAGATACTGCCATTAAACCCCTGGATTTGATCATTGCAGGGTCTGATCTCGGCGGGGTCGAGGCCCATCTTATCAAAAGCTTTCAGCATCAAAATGCTTGAATAGGCCCCAGTGTCCACCATGACGCGATGAACCGGGATGCCACATATCGGAACGGTAATGACCAAGGCGTCAGAATGAGGATGGGCGAAGTGGTTAGCGTCCTCCATATTGAAAGTTATTGGGCAATTCCGATTATTGAGAACATCTCTCAAGTCAGTGGTGTAAACCTGTTTGCCGGAGTTGTAGGCTTGTCGGGCATACGCCTTAACTTGTCGGCGGGATAATGTGCTCCGAGGGTTGTTGGTATTGACCCGATGGACAGTGATTTGCATTGGTTCAGGAGATCTATCTCGCTTATGTCCTCGGGAAATTCCATCAAGAGCAGAACCGGAGGTTTCCGAGGTGAACACGAATACTTCTTTATCTCCCTGTCGGATGCGTTTTGTCATTGCACCTCGGTCTTCCTCATCGTCCTCGTCATCAAAAGATTCCATCTGTCGTCCAGGACCTCGTCTCTGGGAATCAGCATTGCGATAAAATTTCCTAAGTTGCGGGTGGCCGATTAAGCGCAACAATGCGGCCAATAAACTCAAACATTCATCCGTATTGTGCCCGGGCGACTTGTGATAGTCGCAGTATCGGGATTTGTCCAGTTTTTCTTCAGGTGCCCGAAGTGGCTTGGGATCTGGCAAAATGCCCTTTCTTTTGATTTCTTCGTAAATAACAGCTGCTCCCGCCGAGTACACGGTTTGATAACCGGACTTTACGTCGGTCGCGTATTGCTTTCGAGCTGCTCGGACTTCGGGATCGTTGGGGTCTCCCCGGGGAGGCCCCCTGAATTGAGTCTTGCTTTGTTTGTCAAAATATTTATTCTTCCTCTTTTTGTCGGTTCCCACCTTAGAGGCTTTTTGGTTAAAATTAAAGTCGGGAACCGACATGGCTTCTTCCGCTATGATATGCTGTTGGGCTCGGGCAAGAAATTCTTGAAACGTATTCGGTTTATTTTGGCATAACGTCCAACGGAAGATCAAGTTTGGCTTCAACCCAGCAATGGCCATAACAAGCAAAGTTTCTGGATGACAGGGTTCCATATTTTGAACTCGGTCGTTGAAACGTGCGATGTAGTCTTTCACACTTTCATCATCTTTTTGGGTAATGTTGGCAAGAGACTCTTTTGGGATGAGACATACTTGGGCCCCAATGAAATGAGATCGGAACGCAGACCTCAATTGTTGCCATTTCCAAATCGAGTGTGGGGGGAGAGAATGGTACCATTTCTGGGCTCGAGGCCCCAATGTTAGTGAAAACATGCGACACCGAAGTGCGTCTGTCGCTCCATGCAGGTCCATCCATGAGGTGTAATGACCGAGGTGTGAATCCGGGTCGGACGTTCCATCATACAACCCGATTTGGGGAACTTTGACTTTTCCGGGGACCGGTTCCGAAGTAAGTTCCGGCGTAAGTGGAGAGTCGGCTTCCAAATATACCTGAGCCGAGGTAGAGGCCCGCCGAGGTGGGTCCTCAGGTACCCGTTGTCGACTTTCCAATTCGGCTATTCGACGTCGTAGTGTCTCGAGTTCGGACGACTCTTGGCGAGCTCGATTCCGTTCAATATGCTGTCGGAGGTCGGTTTGCGCCGGATTGGAGGGATGCAGGTGCTGTTCGCGAGGCGGTGTCCGTCGTAACTGACCCGACTGACTTTCAGCAGTTTCCTCTTGGGGAAGTATGGGATGATTACGCCCGGCGTCAGTGCGTCGTGTATTTTGTTCTGGTGGCGGTTGTGACATTCGATCACGAGGTTGAGATGTGGCATGAGATGTTGTCCTTCCGCCGTCTTGTCGTGCCGGATGGTTTTGTCGGTTTGCGGGGGTCGTGGGAATGATGGAGTGTCCCGGAACTGTTGTCGATGTTCCCGGCATCGTCTGGGCCATTAAAGCGGCAAAACCGCGCGCAAATTCCGGGTTCTGAAACAGAACAGCATAATCCGGCACAGGTGGAACCACGGCTTGCCGTCTAGCGGATTGCCCGGCGCTGCGACTGTGGCCGTCTCGTGATGTGTG